CATATTTCCTGTTCTTCCTGCTTATGAAGAGAAATGCAGAGAGTGCAGTTTTCATACTACTGCGTCTGAGTTTCGGGCATCATATGGCTGAGCAGGTATGGGGGGAGAGTGTGAGCAGGTAGGACGTGTCATCTGAAGGTCGTTGAATGATGTCACCATTGGGCCCTTGAGCAAGACCCCCAGGTGGCCTACAGGGACCAGCTGACTCTGCTTTATCTCAAAAATATATGCTGCTTTGGACCAAAGTGCCCTCTAAACAAATCAAATGTAAATATTTAACTTCAGGTGCATTACATATAGCTGCATGTGGTATCTTAGCGGAGAGTCATTTCTGATGGGACAGCTTCATATGAGGAGTGCGAGCCGGACTTTGACAAGGAGGGTGTCCCTCCAACCTGCAACCACCACCCTGGGTTGGACAATGAGCTCCACTCAGCTCCTGGAAGATCTCTGTAAATGTTGACTGAGCTTCAGGTCTCGATAAAAGATTGATTTATAGGCATGTCGACTCTGTTGCCTCTGCAGATGAACTGAATGACTAGATCAAAAAGTACAAACTGAGTAATGAATGTTGCCCTTTTAAAGCTGATTATTCATCTGAATATTTCATGCTGCTGATTTGTCAGATTGATCCTGAATCTTACAATTCACCAAAAAAAATCCAATATCAGTCTTAAATGATGGGCTAGTTTTGCGGCAGCAGCAGCAGCGTGATAAAAAATAATAATCAGGTAACAGGAGATGGAAGCAGCCATTCACTGCCTGTCTTGGTAACGCTGCAGACCTGGAGTAAAACTCCACCTTCACCATGGCAACCGCATGTGTTTAAAAAAGAAAAACACAAGTGACTTTTTTTTAATCTATAAATAAATTCCTCAGAAATCTCTCCGTGAGCTGTGTTTATGTATGTGCCGTCGCGGTACCTTCACACGCCACATGGGGCAGTCAGGAGGAAGCCAACATTCCCGTCTCTTTCTCTGGGGTTCGGGCTGCAGATGCCGGTTTGGTCGCGGCTCGGATGCGTCACGCAGACGCTCGGCGATAGACCGGCCATCCCTGCACAGGGGCCGCAGCTCTCAGACGGGGGAGGAAATGCAGGGCGTGGCAGCGAATCCATATGCCTGCAGAATGTGCATCTGGCAGGGAGAGGCGGGAAAAACATCAGTGAGTTAATGAAATGGGGGGGCAAGGTAAAGGGACAGAGGGTAGGGCAGATGGTGGGGAGTGTGTGTGTGTGTGTGTGTGCTTCTGTTTATGTGTTTGATGGTGCTGGCAGGGGTGGTTGTGTGATGGACAATAAAGAGATTGTCTGTGGGGGGGGTATTGAGGGCTGTGGCAGATACTGGCTCTATTTTTAGCCCAATACATGGGGAGGGGGGAGGCGCCATCTGTGCGAGAGAGGCTGGGGTTCAGGCAGTGCCAGTGACACCACGGAAAAGACCAGAGACAAACAAACTGGAAAACGTTGAAAAATCGCACAGAAATCCCCCGGAATCCTCCACCCCCGGCACCACCAGACACCCCCCATCACGCCAAATGTAGGCCTGTCTGCAATCCTGTCAGCCCCCGAGCCACACCGTAAGTTGTGTGTGTGTGTGTGTGGGGTGGGATGCAGCTGGACCTTTATACGTGGGCTATTTATACTGCAGTGGCTAAAAATATCTGAATACCTGCTGATCTCCCCAGCAGCAGACCTGCAGTGCTGCAGCGTGTGTGTGTGTGTGGGGGGGTGGGCCTACCGTACAGATGGTGTCAGTGGGGGCTGGGGGGAGAGTGTGAGTTAGAGAAAGCCCTGATTGTCTGCTGGTCCCACAACTGCTATGCAGTGGTGTAAGAAGCTGAAGGAGTGTCCCAATCCTGTGCAATCGGAGCCACTGCGGACTTCCCCTCGGCCCCCTCATACGCCCGTTACCCCAGACTCCCACTTCTCATTTGCATATCTCATCATTATTACAGGTTTTTTTTTTACTTGAATGATGATAATTCATTTGGTCCCCAGGCACAAACAGATCAGCCTCCAGGGAAAAAAAAGAGAATAAGTGAGTAACCAGAAAGTGAGAAATCCCCCCCCCCCCACCCCCCGCAAATAGACAGGATGTTCAGGTTTGACACATGGCCTGAGAATTTCAACCGTCTGATCTAACAGCAGCAGAGCGGAGGAAACAGCTGCTCTCCAACAGATTCCAGTACAGCCAACTCCTTTCTGCAGCCATGTGACCAGCAAGCAGAATAATCCCAGCTCTCTATCCAGTTTTACTCCTGTTCACTACAGTGGTCAAGGGACAGATCCTTAGAGTCAAGGCGATTTGTGATGCTGCACATATCTAACAAATACACATAGTAAATGTTGCACCTATCTGGTAATAAATAATAAATATTTTTGGCTTACAGTCCACAGACTGCGTCTGCCACCTGGTGGCTATGAGATGGAAAGGTTTTGCATGGCTGGATTTAACTGCTTTAGTGAACTTGAAAATAAGATAATAAGATAACAAAAAAGATTGTGATAGTTAATGTGATTTCTATCTGCATTCATGTATTTTTCTATTTATGTACAGTCGTGAGAAAATGTTTGCGAGCCCTGCAGAATTACATGCATTTCTGCATGAATGGTCCCTAAAATGTGGTCTGATCTTCATAGTCTATGTAACAAACATTTCACATTCTCCATATGCTAATCGAATGAAAAAATAAAAATAATAATGAATGAATTAATTAATTAAAATCAAGGTAATTGATAGAAAAAGTATGTGAACCCTTATTTGTACTAATTGATGGAGTCTTCTTTATCGGTAATAAACTCACGCAAATGGTTTCATCAGATCGCACCTCCAGTGGGTGATCTTTAATGGGCTGAAATACAGAACCTGTTTGAGTCATTCTGTTGTTGATTTACTCCTACGCTTCAGATCATCGTTTATGTTGAACATCCAGCTCTTTTTGACTTTTAGATCACAGACAGGTGTCCTGAAAATCTGCTACAGAATTTCATGATACAAGTTGGAATTCACTGGTGAACAAATCAGCCTCACTGCATTACACTCCCCCCACTGTGTCTGACAGCAGTGAGATTCCGCCGCTGCTCTGCAGTGTTTGCTGTCTTGACAGGATGCTCTTGGGGCACGACACTGTGCTCACTTACCAAAAAGCTCAGCCTCTGCCTCGTCTTTCTGAAGAATATCATTCCAGTGCTGCTGTGGAGCACATCGGTGCTTCTAGCAAGCAGGAGGTGGGCAGAGATGCTTTTAGTGAGCACTGGTTCCTCTGTGGCAGTGAACCTACCTGAACACCACTTTTGTTCATTGTTTTCCTTGTGCCAGATGCATGAACACTGGCATTAAGTGCAGGAGATGCCTGAACATCCTCAGCTGTCACCCTCGGGTCCTTTGTCACTTATTTGCAGATTCTACTACAGTGTCCTCATACACCGATCTTTGTAGGGATGTCACTCCAGCTTTTCCAGAAAACCCAGAACTACACTGTACCCCAGCAAGGCATTATATTTGTCTTCTCTTTGTCTTATATTGCTTTATCAATCCTATTACAGTAATCATGAGTTAAATAATTCACATTAATGATTGTTCTGGAAAACACCACTATATAAAGAATTTTTCTGTTTCCAGTTGTGGAAGAAAAAAAAAATATTCTGGAGCTCCAGCTCCAGACAGAAAAATAACTAAATCTGTGACTCAAAGGTGGTAAAAGGTAAAGTCTTCTTTATTAGGGAGATGATGCAGATCAGCCCGACAGCGTGTTCCTCATACACTGGGCACTTGCACACCTGGAGATTAGCCTGACAGCGTCCTCCTCATACACTGGGCACTTGCACAACGTACAAAGAAAAACTACCCTGTTATATACTTTTTAACACCCCCCTTACAATTAATCTTTGACAGGATTGACTATCCCTGACCAGCCCTCCTTTCTCATGACCTTTGCCCTTGTTTATTGCCTGAGAGTATTATGATCACTTAACTTAATACTTAACTTCCTGTTTTATTGTTATACATTGTTTATACTTGGTTATGACATCTGTTATGCAGTTGTACCTGTGATATGAATTAAATGCATTGTCTTATTATTAACTCAAACACAAACAGGATTCTCTCCTCCCAGCTTATCATATCTCTGTTCCCCGTTACCAGGGCAACCTTCCTTCACCCTGCTTTCCCTTTTCCAGTGCCAGACGTATCCTGCCTTTCTTTGACAATCCTTGCAACCTGCGCCAGGTCAGCGGTCCCCAGCATGCATATGGGCAGAGAACAAAAACGCCTAAGACAGAACAACAATCCCATAATGCAACAGCATATTCTTGCCTAAGACCTAAGACAGAACAATAATCCCAGAATGCACCCAACCAGGGTTGGGGCCATTCAGGAATGCATTGATCAATTCCAGTCCAAATCAGGAAATGGAACTGGAGTTGGAACTTAAATCTCCCTGAAATTCAAATTCAACTCCAGTTCTGTTCCCTGTAGTTTTTTTTCCAATTCCAGCTCCAGTTCCATTTCCTGATTTGCCTGGTTGATCGAGGCTGAAATTGTCCAAAAGGGGGCAGACATTAGAGCATAGCTTAATATCAAGCAAACTGAGGCCTCTTTTCAAATTGAGAATCATTCCCCAGTGAAGTGTAGACGTGTATAGTGGGCTGTGCACCACTGGCTGATATAATCTCCCACATTTTTGTGCTACGGGGGTTTTTGTACATTTTTACATTTGTACATTTCTACATTTTTGGCACTCCTTTTGTTAACTTTAAATTTGGCTACCCTTCAACAGTGGAGGCTACAGAAAATTTTGATTGGGGTGACCATCAGGAGCCGTTTTATTTAGTGGGTGGCCTCCCTGCACCGCATCTCTAATATGGTTATGCTGAGAAAATAATATATGTTTTTATTATTGTGATGCAGGGTGGTGACAGAGCCAACCAATTATTTTCCCACTCCTTAGATCCACCCCTGTCCCTCCATCTTGTTTATTGCAATGTCTGTAATAGCAGAAGTTTCATTTCACTGCTGGTGTACCACTACATTCATGCATGTGACAAATACGAATATGCCTCATGAATCTTGAAATGTCCTTTGTAAATAGCCTTCTGCATGTGGATCGATGTGTCTGCGTATGATTAAACACGTTTAAGAGCATCAACTAGAGCTCTATTTCCTAAGAGTCTAACTTGCAGGCGGTGCTCCTTTCCTGTTGGGGTGTAGATCTCGTTTCGAGCCACAAAGCAGATCAGTCAACTGCTACCCTCGCGCTTTGATCGGAGGAAGGTCTACAGGAAGCTACAGAACTTAATGCTCAGTAAGTCTGACTGGTTTCAAATATTTGCTCCCTTAAATCTTCTTAATGTCAGGATCTCAGTGAGGAATTACCTTGCTGGTGAAACAGCCAGGAGCTGACAGAGAACCCCAAGAAGGGTGAAAGCTCCGAAACGACAGGCGGCCGGCGGAGCCAAATTAGCCGCAGTGCAAAAGGCACCTCACTGCATATGGTGGAAGTACTTTGCGTAGATGAAGCCATGCAGGTTAATTGTTTTTTTTTATATTGTTCTCAGGATATGCATTATATTCATGTTTCATTTATTTGCCTTTGAACATAGAAGACAACTAATTATATATATAAAAATTGATTTTATAGGTTAATAACTGGCTTGTTTGAGTGTTTTTTTTTTTGGTATGTCATGTTTAATTCATTAATTTATTAAATGCTTTTTCATAATTTTGAGTGTAATTACGATAAACATTTGAATATTTTGTTTATACAATTTAACAAGACAAATAATCCATGGTGAGCCTTACCCTTGTCCTCTGGGCTCGGCGGTTTCCTCCCACTGTCCAGAGACAGGCATTGAGGCTCATCACTTGGTTCCCTACGCCCTCTGCGATGGGGCCCTTGAAACTCGGCTTGGACTTTAGATAATGATGATGGTGGTGATTGCATTTCCTCTCTGTGGCACTCATTTCTGCTGCATGGTACTTTTATGGATTCTTATCAACTAAGGCACGTTGAGGTTTTCTCATCTGTCTTTCAACCTCCAAGCGAGGTTTGGTTCCATCCACCCAAAGTAACCAAGCAACTTACTTAGACTTTTCCTATGAAACGTTAGTGACTGCAGGTGTTTTTCTGCTACACCATCCGTTCACATCAATTTTCAAACCTAATTAATTTCCACAAATCTATAAATAAAAGTGCAGACCAACACCAATGCACTCAATAATAAACCTAAACATACAAAACCTTCACGATTGTCATTCTTCAGTTTGTGAAGTGCACCATTCCCCGAAAAGCAGCTGACCAGTGATGTAATATAACCATAAGTGTTAGTACGTGATTTGTCTTTATAGCAGTGTTTCCCAATCCGGTCCGTGGAAACCCACAGCTGCTCCATGTTTTTGCTCCCTCCGAGCTTCATGCCAGACAGCCCTCATTTTTGGAAGCAAAACTGTCTGTGGGTTTACAAGAGCTGGACTGTGAAACGCTGCTATACAGGATAGATTATGAGAAAAAGAGATGATCCAACATCCAAAAATGATGATAATATATTTCAGTAGCCAATTTAAAAGAGCAAAGGGTATATTGCAGTGCAGAGGAGAGAAAGAATGACAGTGGCAGACAACTGACAGCAGGGGGCGAGGTGTAGGCCTAACATTTAGGAACTGCAGCATGTGATGAGAGTAAAAAAAAAGGATGCAGGATGTCCATAAATAGAGGAAAGGGCGTTTATGTTGCTTATATATAAATGCCCTTTCCTCTATTTATGGACATCCTGCATCCTTTTTGGTTTCACTTTTCTAGCTAATGGCTCAATGGGGCCAAAAGACACAGCCCATAATAATAAGCACAGTGCCGATGAGAAACACGATTCTCGCGTAGCCTAAGCGAAGAAGCCGGTCGGGCCATTTCAGGGCAAGCTCTAGTGAGGTGTTCATTGGGTGCAGTGTTACTTGTTGGCAACTGGCACTGTCATGAGAGAAACACAGGCCAGAACAGATCACATTATCACATGATCAGAGAAAGTGTTGCGGAGCTTCTTAAAAACAGGAAGTGCTTTCCGAACCAAAAGCACGTACATGAGGTTATGGGCGTTAACTCTGACAGCCAAACTGAGACTGTTAACAAATGTTTGGGGAAGGACTGAATTTAGTGAAATAGTGAACAGGATTTGTTGTCATTGTTGATACACCACAGCATACAGTGCACAACAATAAAATATGTCCTTGGCAATAAAACATGTGGCATCATAACATAGCATGGGGCAACCAAGTCAGTGCCCTGGGGGCAGTAACTCACTGGAATTTTGCTAGTCAGGGATTCAGACCAACAATCTTTCAATTACAAGACGACTTCCCGCACCATTAGGCCACCACTGTCCAGCACTGGGGTGATGCTAAAAAACCAAACGTAATTCACACATGCCATTAGAAAATGAGTCATTGCCAATAAAGGCATTGCCCAAGATTCCCAAAGATGGTTTCACAAGCCTTGTTATGTCACAGATGGTCAGAAATAATTCTACACAATACAAGGGAAGCATTTTGGCAACCCCCACATGCGCCGAGCGCCATAGCCATCAATGTTAACCTGCTTAAGTTATATTAGTTAGCATTTTTGCACATAGAACAAGTTTGATACATAGTTGCTTAATGATTCTGTATCTCTTTCAGAAGGAAATGCATCGATGTCTGTATCATCATCTCCTCTTTTGGATTTTGGTGCTGGTTGTGATGCAATGGGGTAAGTAAACACTAAACCAATACCAAGGTTTTGGGGGGCGCTGTTAGGACTGCAGTGATGAAGTGATGCTTTTTTTGCCATTTGCACAGGCACATGGGCAATGTTTCTTTTCGCATCTCTCATCTTTCTCTCCTTTCTGAGACATACATTTACATTTAACGTATTTAGTAAGTGCGTTTGTCCAAAGTCAGGCTGTTGAGGAGTCAACTAGGCGTAAGTGCAGCTGTGCTGAGCTTCAGATCAATGCCCAGGTCAAGTGTAAGTGGCTTTGCAGCAGGAGCAACACAACAGCTACACAGCAACCATTAACAAAGTAAGAACCTAATAAGACTATTCAATGATCATAAGTGCAACATAAGTACATTTAAGGAATGTAAAGTGGAATCAGGCCAGCTTATGTACAGAGGTGAGAGTGAGGCTTGGGGTCTGAGCATTGGCTCAGGCCAGTTTCACCCAGGCCCCCTGGAGCATTTCATGGAGTTAAGGGTCTTGCTCAAGGACCCAGTGGACATGTGACTCCTCTAATAATTGATACTTTATTAATCCCCGTGGGGAAATAAGGTTGGAGATTGAACTAGCAACCAATCAATCACAAGCAGAGAGCTAACCCTATGAGCGACACGCTGCCTTACATGGGATGCATGTGGATGCTACCCCCCAGGGCAAAAAAAAATACAAAAATCACCCCCTTTGAAAAAATAACATCTCCTCTTATAACCGCACTAAAATGTTACAGAGGCGTTCTATAGTTATTGTGATTTTAGGAAAATGTCCCTATTACCTAACATGAAAAAATTGATTTAAAACAATTGAATTGCTGCTCCTGTTGTACCTAGCTAGCCGTTAAACCCGTTCTCTTCCCAGATAAACATCTTGGTGAGGAGGTGTTTAGTAAGGGTGCAGCTGAAATCAAGTTTCATTCTGTCACTCACACCCGCATGCACACTCTCCTGGCATTTATGCTCACTCCCTTTCTGCACATTGTCTATAAATCTTGTTCTGTGTTTTTGCATTCCATAATCAATAAAAACTCACCATATACCTTACAAGTAGTTTGTTTTTTAAAAGCAGCTTGAAGTTTAATGTTCACAAGAGATAGTTGTATTTTAATGTGACAATATCTAGAGAAATATCATAAGAAAATGTTTTGCAATATGAGTAAAACTTGAGTATAGATTATCTATAGTGTAGTAGGATCAGGTACACGCAGGAACATATATACTCTTATAACGAGGGCTACATGAGAGACAGGTGCAGGCCATAGCAATTGACTATACACTAGGGAGCACATGTAATAGAGAACAGGTGAGGGTAATTAGGAAAAAGAGAGGAGGACATGGGATGGCCAGCAGAATCAAACGGGAACAGGAAAGGACAGATGGAGACAGTTCATGATAACCAATCTGTGAAGGGTAAACCACAAAACATGTATCTGTAAGTTCCCCCCTTTTGGCAAAGATTTGACCCAAATTTGTAAAATCAAGTTGTAAAAATTTTTTACAACTTGACCACTGGGAGCTACAGCTCAGTGGATTAAGGAGTACTGCCCATATCTGGTAGTTGTGAGTTTGAATCCCATAGCTGGTATAATAATCGTATCACTGCTGGGATGCTGGCTGACCTTGTTCACTGGTCCCCACTTGAATGTTGCTTTGAACCAAGCTTGCTTCGATCTTAACTAGGGTGACCAGATAATCCATGTCAGGGAGGACACTTTGAGCTACTTCGGGTTTTACAAACTACTTTCAAATTGAAAGGCTCCTGTGCTCGGCTAAATAGTTCAGCTCTTCTTGTGCTTTGACTAGTTTGTTTCCTTAACTGAAAGACTCATCCAGCTGTTNTTGTTTCCTTAACTGAAAGACTCATCCAGCTGTTTCACATTAGCATTAGTGACACATGCATGATTATAGGAGATTGACCAATCAGCACACAGCAAGAACTCAGCGCTCAAGTGAAATCCAGGTCCGTTTAATTGAAATGGTAATTTACAATTCCTGTCCTAGCCCAGAGTGTCCTCCCTGACATGGATTATCTGGTCACCCTAATCTTAACGGAACTGCAGAAACACATGTCAGTACCATCTACATCAGGGGTGGCCAATCTTATCCGCAAAGGACCGGTGTGTACGCAGGTTTTTTGGGATAACCTGTAGGTCAGCTGTTCAAACCCAGGTGTGAGGACTCTTCAGCCAATCAGTCCTCTAATTAGTAATCTACATGGGGAAGTTGCATCGAAAACCCGCACACACACCGGCCCTTTTTAGATAAGATTGGCCTCCCCTGATCTACATAGTGATTATCCTTTTGCAATTACTTCCTACAACTGATGCTACAGGCACAAATGCATAAATATTACTATGGCATTAGCCTGAGAATGTGCATGTGATATGACGAACAAAATTTGTGTGCAAAAAATTCACCAGTGAGAGATGGGGTGACCAGTGAACAGTATCATATGCACAAAGACAAGCTTGAGCTCCAAACCACAAGAGCAGGCCTGGATCTAGGCATAGGAAACTCCCTAGGGGCCAATCGGCACAAAGGGGCCCAGACAAAAGGTTGGGAAAGTGAAGCAACACTTTTCAGAGTTCACTTCTCCTTTCGAAAGGGAGAGGAAAAATGACAATTGTGAGCAGCAGAAAGAAGCACCAAGTGGGAACAAAACCTGCAACATGCTTCTTCGCTTGCTGAGAGGTGGACTTCTGCCTGGCATCAGGGCGATAAGGACCAGCTGAGAACTCATCAGAGGTTCCCATCACTGCTACAAATATTGGCACAAAACACCGATGATCCCATTTCTGCTATTTCTGGGTGCTATGGCCATGCTTTACCCTGAAGGGGGCGCTCCTCAGCAATGTCCCTAGTAATAACAATTGCTATATGGCCATGGCCAGAGGACAAAGCAGAATGTTGCTGACCTGCACCCTACAGGCATGACCCAAGGCTTCCCTGTAGATGTCAGAATGAAACCAAAGGCTCAGAACAAAACTGCATCAGCGTGCAATTCTGCCATTATGGCGGTGCATCACAAAGGAGGAATGACCAACAACGAAAGGGCAAACAGAACACAAATGGAGAAGGAGAAAGTAAAGGAACCACAAGCCATGTAAAATGTCAATTAACAAAAACTAATCGCAAAGGAAACTAACACTAAACCTAGGAAATCATGGGTACCAAGCAAGGATTAAACCACTAGTGAACTAACACAGAGTTACAACTACAACTACGGACTGGTAACATAGAGCAAACAGCCACAGTGACAAACTAAGGAACAGAATGTGGGCAGGCATTTAAATACACACAGATAAAAGGGGGTATCTAGGGGCATGTGACAGAAACTAGAGGAAATGAGAAGCAGGTAAGATCAATAAACAGATACAGAAAAGGTATAAACACTAAGAGAGACAAAAAAGTAAAACTGAACAGGGAGCAAAAAACAAGGAACTAACTGAAATACCTAAACATAAGTTAAACCAAGAGAACACAAAACCAACAAACATTAAACAACAGCTAGTTTGGTCAGCCTCAAACCCACAACCAAAAGGGAAACCTGGGTAAAAGCCACCTGTTTGGCATATTAAACCACACAGTAGCCAGGGGTAATAACCTGAGAAAAAAACACGAGATGGGATGACCAGTGACACCCACTGGCCAAACAGAGAAATGACACATGGACAAGAGCAGGACAGGAACTGATTCTGACTCCTGTGGCAGAGATCGCACGATGATCGTCACTCAGGAGTCCGTGTGGCCTTGTTCAGGACCACGTACCTGCTCCTGCAGCCTCCATGTTAATATTGTGGTGCATTCTTTGTAAGCACCCACACGGAAATAACCTATATAAACATATATGTTTTAATATAGGTTTTGATATAGGTTTTTAATATATGTGACATATATAAAATTGGCAGTTTTCCTATATTATATGTACATATATGCATATATGCACCTATATGTTCACCTATATGTTCACCTATA